TCACGCGCATAGTTTGTCACCAAATTCAGCTAGTTCCTCTCCCAGTATTTGCTTTCAAACACTACTGACTCAGAAAGGACTTCGATATTAGCTGTGACGGTGTCCCACGAGATCTTAACTTGTCCTTTCGATGTCATTCAAGGATGGCAATAACGCTCAATTTGACGGAAGTGATTTCGCATAGTCAACATCGTCCATCAGCCAAAGTAATTGCCAACCCTTTCGTACTGTAGAGAGCTAGATGCTGCTGTGAGTAGCCGACAAGGATTGTAGTTCGATGCATGCTGGACAAACCGTGAGATGATTTTCACATACCCTTAGTCGAAGAATTCTGATTTCCTCACGCCTTCGACTCTTATGGTCTAGCTGTCGCATCCATGAGGGGAAATAAAGCGGATTGCAGCTTTTAGCATTTCGTCTTCGAACTAATCGCTAAGAGGATTGCTTTTTTCTCTTGTCCCGGAATCTTTTTGGGAAATATGTTCTTGGACAAGGTATAGCGATGGTTGCAAATGCCTCCAGAAAGGATGGCTAAATTACTTGCTGAACCGACAGAAGGCCCAGCCAGGGGACAACCGAGATTAACCTGGTACAAATATATGGAAGGAGTTTGTTCCAGACTCCAGTTGTCTTCTGCCGCAGCTCAGACTCTGGACAGGATCGGGAACGATGGAAGCTCTACCTGGCATATCTGCTTCCCCCACCCGAGAGGAGAAGCAGTCATGATAGATGAGAAAGATGAAGAAGGAGGACAAAGTAAAACCCTGATGTTCTTGGGAACCTTTCTATACCGCCACTGAAAAATTTAGAATAAATAAATTTACTATTTGTTTAATAATTGTCATATTTAACTTTAAAAATAGTGATATGGGATTGAAATGGCGAAAACGCACAGTGCAAAGAAAGAGAAACCTGTTTCGAACTTTAAACCAACAGGTCTATTTTACCGCCCCTTGCTTCTAAACGACGCAGGGGCGCATTTAAGCAGGCCACGTCTCCATGGTATTTAGTCACCTGCAATGCATAGGACGCAGTCTCCTTAAACACCATGGAGACGTGGCCTGCTGAGATGCCCCCCCCCCACCTAGTCGTCTAGAAGCCAAGGGTGGCAAAATAGAGCTGCTGAATCAGACTGAGTTCTGGAAAATATAATGATCTCTCTCAGGTCAAGTGTTAGATCTACCAAGATCTTGTATCGGCAGGCTGAGTCACCTATGGATAGATAAAACTCGGTGCTGTTTCTCCTCCCCCAGTTGAATAACCAGCCTTCGTTATACGAAGTTCATTGGTTGTCGTGTCCGAGGGCTCGGTGGTATGAAGAGTTGGTATCGATGTACCTTTATGCAATGATACTATGACAGAGTTGTACAATGTGACTTCTATGATTGGACGATTCACCTATTACGGCACAGAAGTAAGTGTGGTGCTTGGCATTATGCCTAAGTTCTTTCTTTTCTCGTTGTCTTGCTGCTTATGGGTTCCACTGACAATTTTTCCAGAACATCTTTTTCTCCCTTCCTGATGACTGTTTTGAAATTTCATCAGAGAAATGATTCATATGATGCTGTATTCGGTTACCGCTGATTTCCTTTCATCTGCTCTTCTAAAACCGACGTTTGTTCTCTTCAGTTTCTCTGTCTTTTCCTTGTCTTTATACGAAGATTCCTTCTTTGTTCATAGAGCGCATACGTGAAGGATGAATTTAAGTCACAGTTTTCCATGCTATACAAAGTAGACGGTGTCTTAAACACTTGAAGAGAATGGTAGACGATCAGTTGCTTAACATCTCAAAAATCTTATTTTTCCATTTGCGTCCAATTTTTTATTATATTAAACTCACTCGCCACCAACAAAAAGAATGGTCATTGTTGCAATATAAGACATGGACATGCAACTCAGTGCAATCATAAAATATGCATAAAAATATGCAAAAACACTGCGATACTTGAAAACGAAGCATGATTCATGTAATTAACCTGCCTTTATTTTTAATTGAGTTACCGACATGAAAATTCAATGACATTCCGTCATTAGGTTATCAATACGAATATCGAAAAATTATTTATTGCCTGGTTTTAATGAATTGTTTAATTGCGGAAATGGAACATCTGTAAGCTAGCAGCTGAATGCAGTGTAAAAGTTGTCAGCTTGACGGGTATCGCGTTCATCAATCTCAATCAAGTTGGTGAAAATGCCATCGGAGTCGATAGTGGAACTGAAAGTTCAGCGTGAAATATTAACTACACGTGTTCACCTTTCGCCAAGTGCTGATCGATGTGAATGGATGATCCTCACATCAGAGTTCTAATCTTTAGTCTCCGAGTTGCTTTATTTTTTTTTTAAACTCTTCTCTTTAAGTTATTATTTGTCGTTAAAAGCTGAATTTCTCTTTGAAACTTTAGGAAAATCTTTAGCACTCCAATTTTGGCTAATGCTGATAGATCAATCCTTCTTGCACCAACTGAAACATGACGCTGAGAATTTTTTGTGAGTTTATTCTACTGGAAACAGCAATTTCCAGAGAAAGGCAGGGATAACATTTTTCAGAAACTCAATCATATACGAAACAAAACCTTAACATTATATGCCCCTTATGGGCAAAACAATATTAAACAAGAGAGAAATGAAGTTCAGTTCTGTTGATTTGAAATATCAGTGGATAGAGCACAAAATATTCATATATCTATGGCAGATCGCCTTTTTTTCGTCTTGGCACACACTGAAGTTTAATTTAGCTTCCATAAACTGAAGTATTGTTTCCCGTGTCGTAAGTGTCTTGATTTTGTTTGCTTTTGAAGTCGTTTTAAATAACTTTTAATTGTCAGACCAAAAAAAGGTTATGCTTATCAGAAATGATAAATAAAAAAATGAGGCCTACATAAATACAATGACGACGACTGGACTGGACAATTTATTCTTAGCAATGAATTAAAAATGGTACGGGAGAACAAATGTATTTTGGAAGATTGCAAGTTCTAGTGCTGTTTAAAATCTAACTCAGAAGATGGATCGAGCTTTGTACGAAACATCATTTTCTCGTTTAAAACATGGTAGTGAAGATCTTATGCGTTTTTTTAGTCGTGGTATTCCAAAACACATCATTAATATAATACGTTTATTTTGGAAAAAAAATTCTTTTGGTCGTTTCTGATAGCAGAATTCAGCAATAGTTTCATCATGTTTTAAAAATAAATCCAATGTATTTATTTTCAAATAGCACTGAATTCTGCAAAGAATTGGTTCGGAAACTTACAACAGTTCTGTTAACGTGAATCTCTTTGTTTTGCTAAGTGAACAATGTTTTTTTAAAGAATAGACCTGTATACTCGAGCACATGTGGCAGTGTTGGGGTGTCAGT